ACAGGTAATTTTACTTGTACTTGAGTAAAATTTCATCAAAGTAATATTACTTTTACTTGAGTAGAATATTTTAGTACTCTTTCAACCTCTGTTCATATCCAGCAATAAGAGCTGTGTTTTTGAGTTAAAGTCCTGCCTGTGAGTTTGCATTTGGGTTGGCTCCTGCCGGCTTAGCAGCCAGTTTATGACTCTCTTGGGTTGAATAGAGCTTCTCATATCTATATAATTATATCAACACAATTTCATTCTAATGTAGTTGGTAGAATTTGGAGGTTTGGACTCTTTTTTATAAGTATAATGTGTAATTTTATATACTTATTTGCCTTTGTGTTTTAGATTAAGAGTCAATGCTCTACACTCACAGTTATAAAACTATTACTGTGGTTAGCAGAATTGCACGTACACTCAGAGCTTTTCATCTGTTGAATTATCATTCATACAGCATCTGCAGCATTAATGTGAATTTATTATTCATTATCCTCATAAATCTGTACTCCAGCTCTAGTAAGATATAGTGCACATAAATTAAACCTTTTGTGTTGCTGTTTGAGCCTCATTGCCCTGCATTTGTATGGGTCTCTGTTGAACCACTAGAGCATGCTGTTTCAGTAGATGAAGTTGTTATAATGTTTGATAAAATCTTCCAGCACAGGTGTGTGCAGTATTAAAAAAAAAAATCAAGCCACTGCAAACCGGGTCATTCTACTATTACCCTCAAATCTTATGTCTTTTTGCCAATAATCACCCCTCTCCACAAACATCGGGTGGTGACTTGTGAGAGCGAGGATAAGTATTGTGTAATGCATTTAAGTTTAAAACAAACAGAATCTGCATCAAGCACATGTTGGAGCCGACAGTAAGCCGACAAAATCCTCATATTACTTAAATACCAAAAAGTAGTCATTCCCTGAACCCAGCATGTTTTTTAACTTTACTGTAGTACGCTTCTGTTCATCATTCATAGAGCAACAAACAAGGGATATAAAAAATGAAATGTTATGAAACATATTTTCTCATTTTCTACTAGAAGAATGTGGCTCTACAGTCATTAGCCTGTATCCATGGTAACGCCTGGAGGCTTAAAAAAAATATCAAGTCTGAATTTGATTACTTCTTTTGACACTGAACTTCAGTTTAATTGGAAAAAACTGAATTAAAATTTTGAGAAGCAAAAAAACATACAAGGATGCAAATATGTCTTTCGTCACAGGCAAACTGAAGCGTGGTCCACTACAAAGGCAGAAATAATATAAAAAATTCAGCCTTTTGGCTGTTACAGAAAGAAATGACA